AACACCAATAAACAAGTAGCCTAGAGTGTATATGCTCTTTGTAATTAAAAAAAAAAAAAACAGAAGTGCGAGTATGTCACTGGAAAGAGGTACAACATTGAGAGACACGAGGAGAAACTTCATCCATTTGGCGGATGTGTGAGAGGTTGCCAGGGATGCAAGAATAGAACGCAGAGGAGAAAAGAAAAGGAAAAGAAGGTTAGTCAGAAGAAACCTTGTCCTCACGAGTCATGTGTTGCCATTGGAGCTTGGTACGAGCGTACCAACTTTTCGAAACATGTCAAGAAGCTCGAACTACATAAGAAATGTACTAATCAATGCAAGGAGTGCAATACCATCAGAGACCTATCGCTGAAGCAAGTTACATCACATGTGGATGTAATGGACATGGCTGGCATCAAAGAGATCTTGTACATACCGGACCACTGTTGGAACATGTTCATCAATGACCTTGCATTTGATCGCAAGAAGTATTCACTTAACAATATCAAGAAGTATCAAGCAGGTATGTATATATATATATCTCTGTTCATATATTTAAATATATCTATCACTGTATCTATATATATCTCTGTTTATATATATAATATTTATCTATCTCTGTATATTATATATATAATATTTATTTGTAGAATGAATGAATGAATGAATGAATGAGTGTGTTGTGAATCATATTTGCTAACCAATTTTTKTTTATTTGTTTCAAATTAATAATAATAGAAGTTGTAAAGAGATACAAAATAACACCAACAAACTCAATGAGTGGCAGTTATATTCCAATACGTTCTCTCATCATTGAAAAGTTAAAGGAGGAGAGAGACCTCATTTGCGACCAGAAAGTTTATGTCAAGTTCTCAGCTGACGGACTAACTCTCTCTGCCAAGAAGAAGGTAGTGGTGGCATGCGTACAGCTACTCTACGAGAGCAAACCAAACCAACAAGCGATGAGTCCATTCGATTCCAGCATCTTCCTCGTATACGTTGGTGATGAGAAGAGACCAACTGTGGAATCAGAGTTCAAACAATTCTTTGCTGATCTGAAGAATGAAATGACTGACTCCAAAGGACGTCCAAGGAATAAGATTGTGATCAAAGACAAAGAACTTGATGTGGAGGTCGAGTTCGATCCCAAGGTACCCTCTCCAGCCCAGTCCTCAACTTCTCAATCAGAGTCATCTTCAGACTCAGTCCCACAAGTTGCCACCAAGAAGTCCCGGTCATCCAATGGCACCATCGCCACCAAGCTTGCCAAAGACGACTCAACAACCAGACATGTACACAATCTAAAGGAATCCACCAAAGATACATCCACTACAACGCCAACAACACCAACAMCAACAACAACAACAACAACAACAACAACAACAACAACAACATCAACATCCACAACATCCACAGCATCCTCGTCAACAACAACAACAACATCAACATCCACTCGGCGTACCGAGTACAGACTCACACCAATTATAGTATCTGACATGGCCCTACAAGTGGTTTTGCACGGTTTATATGCCATATTCAAGACAGGTACCAACTATCGATGTTGTTGGTGCACCGTGACCAAGAAAGACATTGCCAAACCACACAGGACATTGCCAACATGGCCAATCTCTAGCGGTGAGCCATGTATACACTCTCATACAATTGGCGTCGAAGGCAAGGATCGCAAAGAGTGTTTCAAGTGCATCACATGGCGACCAATGAAGAATGTGCTCACCAGCAATGACGGCCGTAGAAGCAAAGGTCATCGTGTATGTACTCGAGATCAATCAATCAATCAATTAATTAATTCTCTCTAAAAATGTAATCTTTCGTCTCACAGCAGGTACCACTGATTGATTTCATTCCAATCGGACAACACCTCCCCGACCTCCTCCACCTTACAATGGGAGTCGTAAAGTTGTTATGTCGCTGTCTCCTCATTGACCTTGAGGCCAACAAAGTGATATCCAGCAAAGAACTACGGACCAAGGTGATGAGCACATTCAGTGATATGAGGGTCAATCTTGCTGACCACTCCGACAAGTCATTGGTAGACTGCTTTAGGAGCTCACGTGTCAACTACGAGAATTGCAAGTCTATTCTCTTCAACCATAAGAAGTTGGTGGCACTCTACCAAGAAGCCACTGGCGACTCTGAACGAACAAGAAGGRTACTTCAGCTTTGGGAGCAACTGCATGCATTACTCAACCTCTGTCACAACATGAAGAAACCATATATCACTGAGGAGAAATGGTTCGAGTACTCAAACAAATGGATGGTCAACTTGATCAACCTTTATGGTGACCGATCAGTTACAACCTATGTTCACACCTTTGTATATCACTTAGGTTTCTACCTCGCCAAGTATGGTCCATTGTTGGCATTTGCCAACTTCTCCATTGAGAGTATGTAATAATATCCTGCAGCTGTTGTTATGTCTCTCTAACATTGTCACCCAATCAAATATCCCACAACAACAAACAATCAATCATTTAACAAATAATCAAATATATAAATATATTCTCAACTCCACAATCAATCAATTATATATCACTCAAACAACCTTTAGGCTCACACAAAGTTACCAAGCAGAACAGAGTGTTTGCAACCAACAATGGCATCAGCAAGAAGAAGGAAGGAGCGAACGAGAACTCATTCACAACTCAACTCCTCGCAAAGTTCCTTCGATTGTCAATCATAAAGCGATCCCACGATAGAGAGAAGTGGCAAGAGATTGATAGGGATGGCACTAATTGGGGAAACTGGGATGAGTCAACAAGGAAGAACAATTGTTTGAAGAATCTCTTCAAGATCGATAACCGGCCAAACACAACTAAAGAGGATCAGTCAAAGAAGAACTATCTCGAGGCGTCAAGTGCCCAGTTTGTTGATGATGAAGGACATGTGGATCCACTTGTACCCAATCCCGACGATGATGATCAAACTCCCATCAACAAAGCAAGCAGTCACTTCGAGACATCCTGGACAAACGCCTCAACAATCACTCCATCTACATACTCCATCACCCTCAACAAAAGCACCAGTCCCAACACTATCAACCTCAGCCTTGACAAGACAACAATGGATTGTTCCTATTCGATCACTCTCAACGACAAGGGCATGGAATGTGATTGTAAATCATATTGTTATAATCAATATGCCAGATGTTGCAAGCACACCATCGCTGTGTTGGTAATCATTGGCCTTGACAAGATCAGAATCAAACAGCTCATTGACAATGTCATCAAGTCGAAACCCATTGACATTGACCTTGCCATCAGTCTTCAGAGACTGAAGGATCACATCGCCACTGCTCCCCAACTACCAACCAATGATGATGACGACGCTGATCAGGGTCCCCTATATGACTATGGTGGTGGAGATAGTTGTCCATCACCAATCTCACCATCCTCCGACACAACATTCATAGTCAGTACTCACACGCCAAAGCCCGACAATGTCCACAATGACCAACAGCTGCAGCAACGACAACATCCACAACAACACCAAAAGATGGATGTCATGACTGATAGTGTGSATCAGGAGATGGACGAGCCATCAGGTCAGCATCATGATGACCTCACTCACAAACAACAGACATCACCGCAGAGGCAACAACAACAGCAGCAGCAGCACACTGACATTGAGATTGCCATCAATGACCACCAGCAACATCATGAACAGCTACAAACACAGCATCACACTGACTATTCACCATATGGCTGGGCCAGCCATCAGCAAACCCAAGACCAGCAGTATCATCATCTGGTCCACCACGACAACAACTCAAACCTTAGCCAGGCATCTTCACAAGAGCTATACTCCATCTCTGCAATGCACATACCATCAATTATACCAACCCAKCTGCAATCAATGACTTGGCAAGAGTACTACCAACACCAACCTGAACAATACTGTATGTATCATTTCCATGTAGCCCAGACTGAATGAGCATAACTAACATATTATACATTTGTCTACAGATGAGCATGATGATCATCTACTTTCAATGTTGGCACCGCCTGCTCTTTGGCACTACACCAATCTCTCTAATGACAACAAGTTAGACCCAATTAGTCACTCATTGAACCCAATGCTTCCACAGCATGTCGATGTCCAATGCAACCTTCCCTTTACAACGGTATATATATATTATGTCCGATGGACAATTGTCCGTCACTAGACGTCCAATCTGGGACCAGGCTAACATCATGCTATCAATCACATCAATTCAGACATCAACAGCAACAACAATCTCAACAACAACATCGACATCATCCCATCATCCAATCAATCTCGACAGCGACGAGGATGATACCCCACACGTGGTCACACATGGACACAAGTATAACGTTGGTGATTGTATAGAGGCCAAGTACATCGGAGATATTAATCGTTATATCCATTCATTTTGGCCTGCCACCATCACTGAACTCATTGTGGATGCCAATGGTAACCTACTCTACAATGTCCAATTCAAGTAAGTACAATAATCAGCGATGAGTGCTATCGTATGAATGACTAACATGTGGATATCTACATGTAGTAACAAAGATGAATCGAATGATGGTACCAAGGTCAGGAGTTCAATCCTCTGCGCAGAGCAAGATATCATTCACCGGGATGATTACAGTAAAGATTGTCTATACTTGGATAAAGACAACTTGCCAGGGCTCGATCAACTACTCTTTGTCATGCTCCACACCAAGACGATTGCATTTCATAAGGAATCCAAGAAGAAGGCACCCCATGGACTCTTTTGGTACAGGGCTCGTCGACTTAACCCGTCCAACATGGACAATCCCAATGTGAACAAACATCTTGGTTTGCATCTCGAGCTTGTGGACTTCGATCCACCAACTCACGCTCTTCTCGCGTTCAAGAACATTGAAGTAGGAAGGTTGTACACCTTCAACCAACCTGTCGACTTAACCAAATCAGTGATCACTAACAAGAGTATGTATATATGAATAGAGTTGGTCCGGCGGCACAATTCACCACCTGCTTTAACTAACATTGTCAATCTTCCTCTTCAAAGAGCAACTCCTCGATAGGTTCAAAGCGACTGGTGGCCTAAACACTGTCTTGCTCACTTACCTAGTTGAGTCGACAATCAAAGTCATGGATTTGCAACATTTGGTACAAACTCGAGATGTTAGAGCAGAAGGACACTACAATCAGCGTAGTTCACGTAGGACAGTCAACAAGTTGATCAATTCAAAGTTTGGAATCATCACCGTATCAATCAATCACCATCACTCTGTGTTGTTCACAATCATTGCCAACAAACATGCCTATCTTCTGCATCTGGATTCTCTCAACTTCATATCGCACTTGGACTACGCACACAGACTCTATGCTGATTTCAAGGTTGCTGTCAACGAGATGTATCCAGACTGTGTGCTCGTTCCCATCAAGACCCTTCAGAAGAAGGTGCAGAGATGTAATTGGCGATGTGGACTCTATGTGTACAAGTTCGTAAGGTCCTTCCTGTACCTGATCACCACCACAGACAACATTGGTGAGGATCAGTTGAGCCAATACCTCCAATCGATGACATGTCTGAAGTGCAGTGATCTTGAAGACTTTGACAATGTTGAACAAACTATTCAAATGTACATAAGCAGCTTGCGATCAACCTTGTAGATTGGATTGTTGGATAGTTCAAATATTACTATGACTGTTTATCTGTATCAATTAAAAAAAATTCAAACAAATAATAATAGGGAGGGAATAATTCCTAACCCACTACCATAGACTCTGAAGATTAAATGATTGTCAAAATTGTCAAAATTGATGATTGAGCCTGCCCAATACCCACACACACACCTACCCCACTCCTAGAGAATCAAGAAATGACTTTGGTGAAGTATTTGGACAATAAGTATCATCAAATGGCATTTCCTTCCCTTTAGATATTTATTTTTATGTTCGATCTGGAAAGGTGGGTGACTGGAGGTGATCAAACGTCTGAGGAGAGAGTATGGAGGTGAGCATWTACGAATGAGTTAGTGTGATCAATCAAGCTGTTGGGTACTATTTGTCTGTGGTTGTCAAATGGCAAGGAGGTGAGTAAACATGAGCGGATAGAGGTGAAGGAATTAAGGGATGATTTATGTCCACATACCGTTTGTTTGGGTCTTTGTTATAAACAAGTTTGTCTCGCGCAGCCCTGTCAGTATTCGATAAACATTCAACAATGACCTTGGCCTCTGCCTCACTAAGGATACCACGTAGTAGACTGACCGTAATCGCCTCGTCTAAACAATTTTGAAAATTGTTAATATTTGTTAAGGATGAATGAATGAATGAATGAATGAATGAATGAATGAATGAATGAATGAATGAATGAATGAATGAATGATTAACATACTCCAACCATTGCTGCACACTGGCCTGGCCCAATGGGTCTTTAAAGATCTGGCATTTCCCATCTTATGCCCACACCACAAACATTTCTTTTGGTGTTTGTCAAAATAATGTTCATGGAAAAGAAAGGGTGTGTTGAAAGTGAGTTTACACTCTAAACAAGTAAACATTTGTTATTGTTGTAAATCAAGTGAATGAATATAGATGTTAAACTTAGAGAGATATTAAAATGGTGAAGATGACTCTGAAAATGTCATTAGGTATTTATACAAATTAAATCTACGATGATTGTGTTAAAAATCGATCAATCGTTGGGGTTTCACAAATGAAACGACACCCCTTCCAATCCGTTAAAGGATGGTGTTGACAAGTTACCCCACTTTATTTCATTGTAACGGTAGGTAACTTTGTGACCTTTGGGTGGGGGTTAATAAGATTGGGTATCAATGTACTTTAAAACATGATTTAATGTTCGCCCTGTTTACTTTAAATGTTCATTTTTTGAACATCAATTGTATCCATTAATTGGTTACCAATTGACTTTATATATTGAATACGCAAGCTATTCAATCACGCAGTGTTGGATTGCTTCTTGTTTGAACGGTGTATCTTTGCAAGGCTTTCCATTTGTTGGGTGACTTTGAGTCTTTCTTTGAGAATGTCAACTACTGACTCGTTAATGAGGGAGACACCTTCCTTCTTGTTGACAGGGAACATGTCAGTCAAGGAAGGATTGATATTCGCTGCTACCTTGCTCAGACGAATCTGATGGATGGTGGCCGAAAGGTGTCCTATTAGACGAATAGTAGCCTGGATCTCTCTGAGCGACTCAAGAGGGATACCCGCCTCTAAAAACCTTTGCACAAAGCCAAATAAAGGACGAAGTGCATCGGCAGCTCTAAGTTGGAGAAGACGCAATGTCTTGTCCTCCTTCTTAACTCCCTCGCTAATGTTAACACCTGCCAGCTTCTCCAGCTTAGGGCAATCTAATTTGAAGGAAGCTGGGAATTCATTGATCAAAAGATCTTTGACTTCTACYWTACTCAAGAGTCCATCCTCTGAGTAAAAGGTTTCAGGATAGGGGAGTTGCTCAAAGAATTCATCAAATGGTTCGGAAATAGGAAGGTCTGCAGCGACATGTCCTTCTTCTTCATTATCTGAATCGTCATCTTCGAGTCGCCTAATTGGTTGTGCAGGGACATTAGGCTGTTGTTGAATTAGTGCGGCCAAGGGGTTGGCGGCTTCAACTGGGTTTACAACTGGTTGTTGTACTTGTTGCGCGGCTGGATTTGCAGGTTGATGTGGCTGCGCGTTTGGCTGGACTACTACTTGGACTGGTTGAACTGGCTGAACTTGTTGGATCTGCTGAGGCGTTGGCTGGACTGGCTGGGCTGGCTGGACTTGGTCTTGTTGAACTGGGGGCGGCACTTGTTGAACTGGAGGGACCAGTTGCTCGTTTGGGATCTGTTGAACACGAGCGGCGTCCTTAAGGAGAGGTGGGTCAGCCACCTCAAGTACTGGTCTTGCTAGGGGGGAACGGTACTGACCAACATGGATCTCTTCAAGGTCTTGGATAAACGGCCTGTTTTGGTTGAGTGGTGGGAGATCCTCGTACTGGAATTCAGGATGTCTGGTAGGTACAGGTATCCTTCTGGAAGGATGTTGGGGGATTAATGATTTCTTCATTTGATATTCTGATAATTGCTAATGATAATTGATAGAGATAATTAGATTGTTGATATAATTAATWATTTATAGTTATAAAATAGGTGTGTTGAGTATATATATAGATTAAAGTTATAATAAGTGAAGTTGACTGTGGATAGGTAGAGTCTATAACTATAAAGGAGGAATTCCCAAACAAAATAAACTGAAGTGAATGGTGCCCAAGTCCCCCTTTATATACTCTACGAACTCTCACCTGGTCTCCCTAAACTAGTCCAACCGTCTTTGCCATCACCAAAAATCCACGGAAAATCATTGATATTTCATGGAAATTTGGATGAAATTTCGGCAAAACCCTGGAGACATACAGGTGAAAAGTTTGGGAAATAAACAAACAGAATACGCTATTCATATAATATTAATTGTCTAAGTTCAAGATAATCCCAATGACATCGGTCTGATCATTGACTCTACAACTATACCAACTCTGAGGAAGTACAAGGAGCCCTTCAAGGATCAGAAGATGTACTGGGACGGCAAGAATCATGTCTACGGATGCAAGTTTGAGGTGGCCGTGCTCGGAACCAAGCCCCACTACGCCGTGTTTGTGAGCAAGCATCACCTTGCGTCGAAGCACGACTTCACAATCCATAAGGAGGAGCATGAGAAGTATGCTCACTACCTGGTGAAGCGCCCTGGTGAGATCGATGGCTACAGGACACAGAGGTTTATCTTACTTGGTGACAAAGCATATCATGGTCCATCCGACAGGACTCCTGGCGTGCGGCGAGTTGCTCTGATGAAGTCACCCGAGCTGGCAAAGGCCAGTGAAGGAGAGAAGCTAAAGAACAAGATTCTCACCCAGAGGAGAGTGGTCATCGAGTGCTTCTT